AGTAGATTTGCAAAGGAAGGTGTGCTCTGAACCAGCTTTACAGGAAGGGGAAAGTGATTGTAGTGGGCTTGATACCACAAGAAGTAGAAGAGGAACAGCAGTCTACACTGACGGACAAGAGGCACTGCAACAGAAATATTTCCTGAAGCAAAGGATGTGGAAACTAGAAATGATTCCTGAGACCAATCTGGAATCCATTCCTTGTCCCATGAAGGAACCTCTTCATTTAAAAAAGACAAAAGAATTCAAACCAAAACAATATTTAAAACCACCAATTCCACAGACTAAAAAAGAATTGAAGGTAACTAATAGCCCATCAGCTTCAAAAGAGCAACAATTACTTATTCCAGGGCTAAAGGCACAACAGCAGAAGCCTGTCACAGGAACTATTCTGGAGTCCATTTTCTCTTGCATACTGGATCATCTTCATACTGAAAAGCCAGAGGAAGATGTGCAAAAGGAAGGCATAATTTTGAAGGGTTCAGCTCAACAGGTAAAGAAAATCTCAAACAAAGCATGTAATTCAAATGTGGATCACATACTAAGAAATACAGAAAGACGGCGCTTGCTTATTAAAGAAAAGGAGAAGAGGAGAAGGAAAATTAGAAAGCATAACAAATTTGAAATATTAACAGACATGAAAGCAAAAGTGGATCCCAATCTGGTTCTAAAGTATTCACCAGCTGGAGTACAATTTATTAACGCAATAGAGAATTCTGGCATATTCAAGCAAAGAGATGGAAAGGCATTAGATGGGAGCTTGACCATACAAAGGGGACAGCAAAATTTGTGTGCTCCGAGGATTATCCTAGATTCTGCTTACACAGATGTGCTTATTTCTACTGAAGTTATAAGCCACAAAGATAAGGAAAGAACAACTTTCATGAAAAGCATGCTGTATCCCAAAAGGATAAAAATGAAGGCAAAGAAAGCATTTGTTTTTCAGCTGCTTAATATTACAGGATATGGAACCCAAAGCAACAAAGAGGAACTGAGATGCACCATTAGGAAACAAAAGAAGGGATTCCAGAAAGGTAAAACTGCGGCAGAATTAGTTCTGAATGCTATTTGTGATTCTGGCTATACTCCACATCAAATTAAAGAGGTTATAGAAGTAAAAAGGGACGGAGACAAGCCAAGAAAGCCAATACATATTTCTCCACAGCTAAAGCTGAAGAAATCACTAAATAAAAGAAAAACGTCAACTTCACAGTCCATTTGCAAGCATGTTATATCAAACACTATTAAAACACCAAAACAATATATTAGAGAGCGAAAAAGAAAATATCAAATTGTTCTCTCGCAATATAGAGATCAGTTAGTGATTAGCCGACTAGTGCAGAAGGAGCCTGACCATGTCAAGTTTACGGATTTGGAAAGGGAATTAAAATGGAATGTTTTAATTCCATGGGGGAGAGAAGGGTCAAGGACAATGGACATTTCATTAAGTTCAAAAGGACAGAATATATTTCTTACAGAGTTTGATGCTTCTCAGCAGCAGACTTGCAAGGAGCAAGAATCACTGAAACAAGGCAGTATTTCCATGACAAACCTGGGGTCTATTTCCTGCCCCAGGATGCAACTTCACTTGAAAAATACAGGAGAGGTAGCTAAGGAAGGAGACATATACATTAACAGAAAAAATATCCCACATCTGTTGGGAAGAGGAGGATTAAAGGAAACTGATATCTTACTAGGTTTCAAAGGACAGAAATTTCTTTGTACAAATCTAGGGGACCTGCACAAGATGTCTGTAGTGCCGAAAGGGCAGGTAAAACTTGGTCACGTTCCTGAAAGTATTCTGGACTCTCTATCTCACCCCAATAGGGACCCTCTTCCTTTAAAACAGGCAGTGAACACAAGTAAAAAAACTGGTAGCATCCTTAAAAGTTTCACTGTAAATCCATGGGGAAAAGAGCAATCAAAGTTAACTGATATTCCATTAAAATCAAATAGACTGAAAATGGACTTTACAAAAAAATTGAAGGCAAAGCAACTAAATATTTGTAACAAGAACAAAGAAAATATTCTAGAATCCATTTGTTCTTGCATATTGTATCAGCTTCATATTGAAAATTCGAAGACAGAAGTCTCAGCAAAAGAAATGAGTTCAAAAAATTTGAGCCCAATCATGGAGAAGGCATCAAACAAAGTAGGTATTCCAGCTTATCAACCTCCTTGCTCAGAAAAAATTAATCTGCATATTAGAGGAAAAAAAGAACATCAACAAGAGAGTACATGCAAGGCTTTTTCAACATCTGTTTCTCACTCTCTGATTAAGTCACCACGGGTAAAGAAAGCATTAAAGGCAGTAGATAGTCCGGGGTACTACACTTCAAATACAGAAGGAATTGGCTTGCTTACTACAGGAAAGGGAGAAGAGCAAGAAAAATGTACATATAAGGCTCTTCCAAAGCCTGCATCTCACTCCAAAACAGACCTTATTCAAATTACTGCCCCAGTGCAACAAAATTATCAAAATTATCCCTGTCTCCAGCGACATCTAATGCCTCAGACAAAGGAAACATTATCAAAAGTAGCTAATGTGTCAAGCAGGACAAAAGGACTAGACTTGTGTTCTAAAAATCAACTAAGTACTATAGATGAGTATGGACTAGAAAGGATTGTGCCCTTGATTACTCCAGAGCAACTGAAAAAACAAAATACAATGCTGCCTTTAGAATCATGCAGTAAAACTATAAAATATTCGAATCTTTTATTTCCAAAAGGAAAGAAATCATCAGATGAGGCACAGGTAATTGATTCAATATTAAATGGTAGCTCACCCAACCTAAGAGTTAGAAAGAGGGTAGACTCACATAAGGCAAATCAAAGGATGCAAAAAGAAGTATGTCTACCTGGAATAATTTTACATTCCCTTTCTCTATGTGTGTCTGTTTTGCATGACAGTAAAATAGAGAAGGATGACATAAAACAAGGAGTTGTGAAAGGCATAACATGTCTCAAAAGAAGAGATTCAAAGTTGAATAAATCATTGTCTTCACATGTATTCAATACCAGTGACTGTGGTACCCCAAACAACAAGCTAGAACTGCCATGGAACATAAAAGAGAAAATGATAAATATGAAACATAGAATGGGTGAACAAGATTTAGTTGTGACAAAAATATATGAGCCCATCCCTTATTTACCTCCCCTCAAACTGGATAAAGAGACAATTGATGGTGTTATCTCAAATAATGTAAAAGGAATAAAACAACATATATCACAGGAAGAGAAGAAACATAGAGTAAAAGCAGTGGATATAAAAGGAATAATGGATCCTAATGTTATTTCGAAGGCAAATAAATCATCACTGTCACATATACTCAATAGAAATAAATTACCTTTGCTGTTGGACATTATAAAACAAGGGAACAAGGCACAAGAAGGCAAAGGTGAATCAGGTGTGCAAGTGACAGACTCATGTACTTTCTTACCATTGCTATCACATACTAATTTGAATTCAAGAATAAAAGTAGGAAAAGGTAAGTCAGGAATACTAAGGACCTGCCTTCCATCACTAAAGCACCAGGCATTACCAAATGTTAAAAGAGTGTCATTTGCAGAGCCAATTTGTCGAGGTAGTTTAAACAATGTAATAGAAACAAAACATTTGCCACAGAAAAAGAAGGAAGATGGAAAAAATGTGGTAGATGTGAAATATATAATGGGCCTCAAATGTATTACTTTGAAAGGAAAGAAATCACCTTTTAAACACTTACTATATGGAGAGGAACCACAGTGGAACAATATAAGACAAGAGAGAATGATGCAAGAAGATAAAAGTAGTCTGGATGAGAATAAGCCTTGTGCTTCCATTCCTTCTCTACCTCACCTGGGATGGGGTGGCCAAATAAAAGAGGTATACATGCGAGGAATGACAAGATTCTGTCTTCCATCATTAACACTCCAGGAATTATCAGAAGCAATGGGATTATATGAGGAGCCAACTGATGATATTTTAAGCAGTATTAAGAAAGCAAAATATATGCCACAGAAAGACAAAGGTAGAGAAGAAAGAGCTTTGGAAGAAACAATGCATTCCAAAAGAATAGCTTTGAAGACAAAACAATGTTCAGTGTCACGGGAATTACAGTTGAACATCAGAGAAAAAGAGAGAAAGATGCAGGAAGATGCAGATAAAAAAGTTGAGATTCAGAGGAGATCTTCTGCTCTCATCTCTTGTCCACCTTACTCTGAAGTGGGTACAAGAATAAGTGGAGAGGAAGCCATGCTCATAAAAATGAGACCCTCTTTTTCACAATCAAAGCTTCAGGAGTCATTAGATATTGAGAAAACGGCATATGAAAAGTCTGTTTCTGATAATATCTGGAACAGTGTTAAAAAAGTCATGCAACATATAATGCAGAAAGAAGAGAAGAGAGTAAAAATGGAAAAAGCCTTACCTTTGAAGAAGAAGAAATTGTCAGTTTCACAGGAAGTCTATTTGGGCATCAAAGACCAAGAAGAAAAGATACAAAAAATTAAAGGTGAACCAAGTGTGGTTCTGCCTAATACCAGCACTTCCATATCTTTTACTTCACATCTAAAATTGGATATAAGGATAGAAAAAACAAACTGTGTATCTGAAGTAACAAGATACTCTCTTCCAGAACTAGCACAACAGAAATCATCAGATGCAGCGAAAAATGCAAATAAAAAGTCCATTGAGGGTGATATCACAAGTGATATACAAAAAGCAAAAGAATATATGCCACAAAGAGAAGAGGATGAAGGTAAGATATCAGCCAAGAGAGACAAAATGCATCCAAAAGATAATGATTTGGAAAGAAAGAAAGCACTTTCACAGGACCTACCATTGAATCTTAAAGAGCAAGAGCAAACCGAAAGAGAAGGCAAGGGGCAAGGAAAAACAGATCAAGAAGGTAAAGAGCAAGGAAAAGTGGCTCTAGAAGGTGAGGAGAAAGGGAAAGCAGATCTAGAAGGTGAAAAACAAGAGAAGGATGATCTAGAAGGTGAGGAGCAAAGGAAAATCGATGGAGAATGTGAGGAGCAAGGGAAAGCAGCTCGAGGAGGTGAGGAGCAAAAGAAAGTGGTTCAAGAAGGCGAGGAGCAAGGGAGAGGGGGTTTAGAGGGTGAGGAGCAAGGGAAAGCAGATCTAGAAGGTGAGGCCCAAGAGAAGGAGGATTTGGAAGGTGAGGAGCAAGGGAAAGTGGATCTGGAAAATGAGGAGCAAGGAAAAGCGGATCTAGAAGGTGAGGAGCAAAGGAAGGTGGGTGGAGAAGGTGAGGAGCAAGGGAAAGCGGATCTAGAAGGTGAGGCCCAAGAGAAGGAGGATTTGGAAGGTGAGGAGCAAGGGAAAGTGGATCTGGAAAATGAGGAGCAAGGAAAAGTGGATCTAGAAGGTGAGGAGCAAAGGAAGGTGGGTGGAGAAGGTGAGGAGCAAGGGAAAGCGGATCTAGAAGCTGAGGAGCAAAGGAAGGTGGGTGGAGAAGGTGAGGAGCAAGGAAAAGCAGATCTAGAAGGTGAGGAGCAAAGGAAAGTGGGTGGAGAAGGTGAGGAGCAAGGGAAAGCGGATCTAGAAGCTGAGGAGCAAAGGAAGGTGGGTGGAGAAGGTGAGGAGCAAGGGAAAGCGGATCTAGAAGCTGAGGAGCAAAGGAAGGTGGGTGGAGAAGGTGAGGAGCAAGGGAAAGCGGATCTAGAAGCTGAGGAGCAAAGGAAGGTGGGTGGAGAAGGTGAGGAGCAAGGGAAAGCGGATCTAGAAGCTGAGGAGCAAAGGAAGGTGGGTGGAGAAGGTGAGGAGCAAGGGAAAGCAGATCTAGAAGCTGAGGAGCAAAGGAAAGTGGGTGGAGAAGGTGAGGAGCAAGGGAAAGCAGATCTAGAAGCTGAGGAGCAAAGGAAAGTGGGTGGAGAAGGTGAGGAGCAAGGGAAAGCGGATCTAGAAGGTGAGGAGCAAAGGAAAGTGGGTGGAGAAGGTGAGGAGCAAGGGAAAGCAGATCTAGAAGCTGAGGAGCAAAGGAAAGTGGGTGGAGAAGGTGAGGAGCAAGGGAAAGCAGATCTAGAAGGTGAGGAGCAAAGGAAGGCAGAGCTAGAAGGTGAGGAGGAAGGGAAGGAGGGTCTAGGAAGGGAGGAACATAAGAATGAGGCTCGAGAAGGTGAGGAGCAAGGGAAGATGGATCTAGAAGGTGAGGAGCCAGTGAAAGTGGACCAAGAAGATGAGGAGCAAAGGAAGGTAGATCTAGAAGATGAGGAGCAAGGGACAGCAGACGGGCAAGGTGAGAAACAAGAGACAGTGGATCAAGAAGTTAAAGAGCAAGGTAAAGTGTATCCAGACAGCAAAGATCCAGGGACAGCACAGAGAGAAGGGGAAAGTGAACAGGAAGTAGTTCTGTTCATATATTTCCCTTCTGCATCTTCTCATCATGAATTGAACACAAGAATAGAAGGAAAGCAAGTGATACAAGGAATAAGATCTGCTCTTTCACAACTACAGGCCCAGAAATCATTTGATGCAGGGAAAATAGCACATACAAAGTCAGTTGGGGAGGACATCTCAAATGATGTAAAAACAGAACAAGAGCACAGGCCACAGGAAGCAGCAGATGGAGGAAAAGTAGTAGATATGGAATATGTAACACAACCTGAAGGCACAACTTCCACGGCAAAGCAATTACCATTTCCACATGAACTGAGCATAACTAGGGTTGGTGGCTCAAAAACAAAAGTACAGACAAACATAAAAGAAAAATTGGGACAGGTACAGGAAAGGAAAAGTGAATTAGATGAGGTTCTGGCAATACCTTCTCTACCACACTGTAAATTACACGAAAGTATAGAAGGCAAGCAAGAGAAGCAAGGAGCAGCAAGATCCTTTCTTCCACTCTCAAGGCACATAGAATCATCAGATGCAGGGACATTAAAATATATAGTGTCACCTTTGAATGATATCTCAAGCAATTCAAAAAAAACAAAATACATGAAACAGATAGAAGGGGATAAACCATATATTTCTGAGAAAAGCATAATGCATCCCAGGTACATAGCTGTGAAGGTACAGAAATCACCACTTTCCCATATACTCAAAACAAAGCATCTGCAAGTGAACATCAAAGAACAAGAGAAAAATGGGCAGGAAGGTAATGTGGAAACAGTTGTACTTCTCAGCGACATTTGTCCTTTCACCACTTCTTCAACTGACCTGAAATTAGAAACAATAAAAGAAGGTGAACCAGGAGTGAGAAGAAGCTGTATGCCACATCTTGAGCTCCAGGAATCATTGCCTTCAGGGCAAATAGCACCTACAGAATCAACTGACAGCCATGTAAAGAAAGGAAAACGACATCAGCCACAGAAAGAGATAGAACGAAGAGCAGCCACGAGTGGTTTGGTGCACCCCAGTGCTGCAGTTTTCAAGGCACAGACATCAGCACCTGCACATGTGTTCGGTGTCCCTGAGCACTGTACTCTGAACAATGGAAAGGAAGCACAGTGGAGCATTAAAGAGAAAATAGGACAGAGGCAGGAGAGAACAGGAGTTCCTGATGTGGTTCAGACAAAAACTTATCCTTCCATGCCTCCTCCACTGCACTATGGGTTCTCTCCTTCATTATTAAAGCTTCCTGTATCATCAAGTGCAGGGAAAATCAGACATGTGAATTCAAATGAAGGTATTAGTTCACATAATGTAACACTGAAAGCAAATCAACATATGCGATATAAAAAGGTAAAGGACAGATTAAAAATAGAAGAGAGGGATGGTAGAATACTCCCCAAAAGAGCAACTTTGAGAGCCGAGACATCACCACTGGCACTTCTGTGCCACAGAAAGAAACTCCCTTTGAATATCAAAGCACGAGGGAAGGAAGTGCAGGAAGGCAAAAGTGAATCAGAAGTGGTTCTGAAGAAAACTTCTGCTTCCCTACCTTGTCCTCCATCTCACCTGAAATGGGACACTGGAAAGGATGAAAAGGGAGGGGCACCAGGAAGAAAACAATTCTGTTTTCTACCACTAAAGATTCAGGATCCACCAGATTCAGGCAAAAAAGCATATGGTGAGGCACTGGATAGTTCTATGTTAAGCAACAGAAAAGGACTGATACAATCTTTAACACAGGAAGAAGAGAAAGGTAGACTCAAAATAGATATGAAAGACAAAATGTTCCCCAGCTGTATGGATCTTAAGGGGAAGAAATTACTACACCCACATATGCTCGATACCAAAGACTTGCAGTGGAAAATTAAAAAACAAAAGAGAAAGAAGCAGAAAGAGAAAAATGAACTAGTTGCAGGTCTGGCAAATATTAGTACTTCTTTACTTATTCTACCAGATCTTAAATTTGATACAACAGAAGAAGACGGGTATATGAGAAGAATTACAAAATCGTCTCTCCTACAATTACAGTCCAAAGAAACATCAGATGCAGGGAGAATACCATGTCCAGAAACAACTGATAGAGCACTTTCGAATGATGTAAAAAAATTACAAGAACACTTGCAACAGAAAGAAGGAAAGGATAGTGAAAAAGTCATGGAAATGAATCGTACAGTGGATCCCAAAGATATGGATTTGAAGGCAAAGAAATCACCTGTTTTACATGCACACAACTTACTTGACCATCAGTGGAAAACTAGAGAGCAAGAAGAAAAGGTCCAGAAAGTTAAAAGTGAGCCAGGTGTAATTCTGACTAAGACCTCTAGATCTCCACTTCACCCTAATGTGAATACTGAACTCAAGGAAGAAAGTGTACCAGTATTAACAGGATCCTCTTGTCCCCTAGTAAACTCCCAAGAATTACCAGATTCTGAAGTTGACGTATATATAAAGCCCATCGCTAGTAATATTTTAATCAGTCTACAAAAAGGAAAGCAACATACACCGCAGAATAAAGAAGAGGATGGAGGGCAAATAGTAAACATCATAATCTTCCACAAACATCAAGAAAAGGTGCAAGAATATAAAGGTGAACCAGGTGTGGTTCCAACCAAATCACCTTCAGTACCGTCTCTACCTCACCTCAAATTGGATAAAGAAATACAAACAGATGATGAAGTGCTAAGACCTATGAGGCCTGTTTTGCAGGAAATATCCCATGTGGGGGAAACAGCACATACAGAGTCAGTTCATGGTGATATCATGAAAGATGTTAAAAATGAAAAACAACAGAAACTTCAGAAAGGAGAGAGGGACCGAGAAAAAATGGTCGATAGGAGAGGCACAGATATAACCTTGAAGTCAAAGAAATCACCTCCTTCAGTACCATCCCCACCTCCTCTCAGACTGGATAAAAAAACACAAACAGATGATGAAGTACTAAGACCTGCGAGGCCCGTTTTGCAGAAAATATCCCATGTGGGGGAAACAGCACATACAGAGTCAGTTCACGGTGATATCATGAAAGATGTTAAAGATGAAAAACGACATACGCCTCACAAAGAGAGGGACAGAGAAAAAACAGTAGATAGGAGAGGCACAGATATAACCTTGAAGTCAAAGAAATCACCTCCTTCAGTACCACCCCCACCTCCTCTCAGACTGGATAAAAAAACACAAACAGATGATGAAGTGCTAAGACCTGCGAGGTCAGTTTTGCAGAAAATATCCCATGTGGGGGAAACAGCACATACAGAGTCAGTTCATGGTGATATCACAAAAGATGTTGAAGATGAAAAACGACATATGCCTCAGAAAGAGCGGGACAGAGAAAAAACAGTAGATAGGAGAGGCACAGATATAACCTTGAAGTCAAAGAAATCACCTCCTTCCTATATGCTCCATAGAACAGAACTGCACCTGCACATCAGAGGGCAAGAACGAAAGGAACAGGAAGGTCAAGGTGAACCACCCGGTACGGTTCTAAGAAAAATCTGTGTTTCCAAACCTACTTCACCTAACTTCATACTGGATAAAAGTACCCAAGCAGAGGAAGAAAGGCATGTGGGGAAAACAACAGAAACAGAGGCAATGAGTGGGGATGTAAGAAAAGAAAAACAGCTTATGTTACAGAAAGAAAAAAGGTATGACGTGAAAACGGTAGATATGAACATCAGTGTGAACAGCCAATGGGCAAGGATCTCACCAATTTCACATATCCTTAATACAAAGAAATTTGTGTTGAATATTAAAGAGCCAGAGAAAAAAGAGCACAAAGGTAAAGGGGAATCGTGTGTGGTTCTGACAAGGACTTTCCTTTCCATACCATCTGCACCTCCCCTCTATCTGGATTCAAGGAACGAAATGGACAAAGACATGCCAGTAATTACAAGATCCTCCTACCCACAGCAAAATCTCCAGGAATCATCAAATATCCAGAAAATAGCAAATAG